TTTTTCGTCGATTGATTTAGTCGGCCAACTTTGTCTGTTGTTTAATCGGCAGATGATTTCAAAGCTTAACATGTCTTCAGTAATTTATAAGTCTTAAAGTAGCTTTTTATTTAAGAACAATGCATTACAAAATAGTTTTATGCATTTTGTACAAGATTCACCCATGCTGACAAGAAATTTTCATGAAATTACATTGAAATTAAATAATTTTGCAAACAATCAATGAAATTTTCAAGGGCTGTCACAGACTTATCACCGTCGGTTAGTGCTTATTCCTGCCACCAGGCGCGCATGAGTTTAAGTTGGATTTCTCAATAAGCTAATATGCGATACGCAATTAGCTTGAAATGCGAGGAAGAAGAAGAAGCTCTCTCGAAGCCTATTTATCTTATCGATTTGCCTGGTCGATGTGACGATCACACTGATGTCGTCCGCATACGCCACCAGCAGATCATTTTCGCACACTCTTTCGAGTCTGCACAATAGTGGATGTAGGCAGAGAACGAAGAGGTGCATCGATAGCGGATCCCCTTGTCGTATAGAGCGTTGAATTTCGAACGGACGAGAAAGCTGCCCATTGATCAACAGCCGAGAGGTGGACCGGCTGCCGATGGGCGAGAGTAGAGCAATGAGATCCTGGTTGAAGCTGAGCGAAGGCATGCTCTCGAAGAGAAAATAGTGTCGGACCCGATCGAAAGCGTGATTCGAAAGCGTGATCGAGATCAAAGCTGATTAGCTGATCCTTAGACAATGTAGGGTAGATGGATGGATTAGATTGAGTTAATAGGTATTATCATAGAGGTAACTCTAAGACAAGAAGGTCCCGAAATAACGTGCTCAACTTTTTGGCTCAGCTCTGGTACTCTCTTCGGTCCCAAGCTAATCGATTCACCCCTCGAAACATGGGAAAATCCACTAACCCCTCATTTTATCTGTCAAACTTTCATAGCGAATCAAAACAAACATTGTGTAGTAGTAGAATTTCGACTAGAATGGGGTACATTAATCGTTTGCTTGGGGCCAATAGGCTAGTCAAGTAGTGAGCCAATTTAAAATCGTTAGTTTCTTATTGATTGTTGGTATTATGCCCAAACGAACGGTGGCCCATCTCGCCCCGTATGGTCTTCTTGCCCCCATCCCCCTTACCCCTCTAACTGGCTCGATTATCGAACGCTTTCCAGTCAAGTCTTCGGTCCTGACTACGAGGTCTTTCGTTGCGATCGGAATCCTAACAACAGCCGTAAATCTACAGGTGGAGGTGTCCTTGTAGCTGTCCGTAGCGGGTTGGAGGCAAAGGCCATCGAGAACGATTCATGGAACAATGTGGAGCAGGTTTGGACAGCCATCAATCTGGGTGATCGCACACTATTTCTATGCGCTCTGTACATTCCACCTGATCGAGTCCGCTACAATGAACTCATCGATACTCACTGTCGGTTAGTTTTCACAGTTCCACTCCAGTTGATGAGATATTCATTTTTGGTGACTTCAATCTGCCAGGCGTTTCGTGGAGTCATCTCATAGCGGATTCCTGTATCCAGATCCTGATAGCTCTACATTTCACGCAGGAGCTATTAGCCTTCTCGACAACTACAGCGCAGCGACGCTTTCTCAAATTAACCATGTAGTTAACGAAAATGGTCGTAGTTTGGACCTCTGCTTCGTGAGCACACAGGACAGGGCTCCATCAATTTCCTCGGCTCCTTGTGCACTAACTAAGCTAGTTCCACATCACCCTCCTCTAATTGTCACTGTTGAGGACAAACTCGTGCGTGATTTCGGCGACTATACTGCTACGGTTTCTTATGACTTCCGTAAAGCTGACCACCGTAGCATCATAGATGTGTTGTCTAGCATGGTATGGGAGAACATCCTTGATCCAGATGACGTTGAGGCTGCAGCGCAAACCTTTTCACATGGCTTGGCATATGTCATTGACAGACACGTCCTGAAAAGAACTCACCACAAAGTGTCTCACCCTCCCTGGCAGACGAGAGAGCTAAGTAGGTTGAAGTCAATCAAGAGAACAGCATTGAGAAGATTTACGAAGTATCGCACGCTTCCTCTGAAACTACATTATGTGAGGCTGAATCACATGTACCAGCGAGTCAGTCGTGAATGCTTTTCAAGTTTCCAACGAGGCATCCAGCACAAACTTAAGCTACACCCGAAATCCTTTTGGAACTACGTGAACGAGCAACGCAGGGAATCCGGCCTCCCATCGTCTATGGAATTCAACGGAGAAGTTGCTGCCACTGTTCAGGATATATGCCACCTTTTTTCCGAAAAGTTTGCCAGTGTATTCACTAATGAGACACTAACTGACGACCATATTAACCTGGCTGCCAGGAACGTTCCAGTAAACGATCAAACGCTGGGTCCAATTGATGTTAATGCAGAAATGATTTCTAAGGCCGCGACTCTGCTCAAGTCATCCTTCAATCCTGGACCTGATGGAGTTCCATCTGTATTTTTGAAGAGACATATTGCTAGCTTGTTAATTCCGCTTCTTCGCCTGTTCCGAATGTCTATCTCAGGTGGCATATTTCCATCTTGCTGGAAATTTGCGCACATGTTTCCCGTCCACAAAAAAAAGGAAGGAAACGAGCTGTGGATAATTATCGAGGAATTACATCGTTAAGTGCCGTTTCGAAGCTATTCGAGCTAGTGATTATGGAACCGTTGCTGTCCCATTGCAAGCAGTATTTGAGTGCTGATCAACATGGGTTTACTGTCAGCCGCTCTACAACTACCAATCTGCTGTGTCTCACATCGTATATAACCGAAAGCATGTCGGATCGGGTTCAAACGGACGTTATTTATTCAGACCTATCCGCAGCATTCGACAAGTTGAACCATGCTATTGCGATTGCTAAACTCGGCAGGCTCGGTGTATGCGGTAATCTTCTGAGTTGGTTTTGATCATATCTTACCGGTCGGCAACTAAAAGTTGCCATAGGAGATTGCAGATCAGCTAGCTTCTTCACCACATCAGGTATACCTCAGGGAAGCCACATGGGACCGTTCATTTTTATACTGTACTTCAACGACGTGCATCTGGTCATCGAAGCTCCTCGGTTATCATATGCAGATGACCTCAAAATCTTCCTACGAATCTGCTCCATTGCTGACTGTCACTTTCTTCAACGTCAACTGAATGTATTCGCTAGTTGGTGCAGGTTAAACAGAATTGTAGTGAACCCAGCCAAATGCTCCGCTATTACGTTCTCACGAAAACAACAACCGATAATATTTAGCTATGACCTGCTTGGCTCGACAATCGAACGCGTGAATCAGGTGAAAGACTTGGGTGTGATCTTGGATTCGCAGCTTTCATTCAAACAACACATTGCATATGTTGTTGATAAGGCGTCAAGAACTTTAGGGTTCATTTTTAGGATAGCTAAAAACTTCACTGATATCTACTGTCTAAAATCTCTCTATTGTTCGCTTGTTCGATCGACGCTTGAGTATTGTTCAGCGGTTTGGAACCCAAACTACAACAACGGTGCCGAGAGAATTGAATCTGTTCAACGTCGCTTTCTTCGTTTTGCGTTGCGTAGATTGCCTTGGAACGATCCGTTTCGATTACCAAGTTACGAAAGCCGTTGTCAACTTATCGACCTAGAACTTCTCCGGACTAGAAGAGACACAAACAGAGCCCTAACCGTGGCCGATATCCTACAAGGAAGGACAGATTGTGAGGCTATCCTGAGGCAAATTGACCAGAATGTTCAACCCCGACCGCTTCGTAATAACCTTATGCTAAGACTGCCTCTACGTCGCACAAATTATGGAGCGTACGGTGCGATTTGCGGACTGCAGAGAACATTCAACAGAGTTGCATCTGTTTTCGACTTTCATCTCTCCCGTGATGCGCTTCGTCGAAAGTTTTCTTCTGTTTTTCGCCGGCAGAAGTTAAGATATTGACTATAAGATATACGTTTTTTAATGTTATGACCATGCTTGAATGTATTTTTTTTTACCATAGTTGATAAGGTTAAAATCATTGGGGCTTCATCCAGCCTGTTGATGTAAAACAACAATAAACAACAATAAGCCTCGAGTAAGCCGCGAGTATTCGGCCCAACTCCTACTAAACATAGAATTAAGTGAATTTTGTTACAAACAAAGAACAATGAATTATCGGCTCCGTAAAGCTAACGTGATTGCGTGATACAAATAAGCGAACTAGATAAAAAAAAAAGCTGATTAGCTTCCCGGCACGGCGGTGGTGGCGGAGATTGGCTATCCGGTCCTTGAGAGCAAGAGTGGCTTGAAAGATATTCAGGTCTGAGTTGGAGCATTTCTGCCCGTCGCTCAAGACGTGGTGCTCTCCCATCACTTGTTCGAGCCTGGTTTTGAGGATGTGGCGCGGGAGAAGAGCTTGTAGCTGTTGAGCAGCAAGATCGGACGATAAGAACGGACTGTGTGGATGACGTCGAACATGCTGTGGTAGAAATCTCTCGGAATACCATCGCAGCTGGGGGACTTTCGTGGTGCGCTATCTGTTATTGCAGACCAGATTCGATGGGTCGTTGGGAGGATAACACTCTCGCAGACGAAACTGTTCTCATTCTCTTCTATTGGCTCCTTCGAGTACACCGTGGAGAAATAGACCATCATCGTGGCTCTGCTGCCGTTGCGTCCTGCTCTGTCTGTCTGCAGCTGCGTAATGACGGTAGTCTTCCTTCGCCTCTCCTCCAATTGGAATATTGACATGGGTTCTCCCGCCACGTGTGTTTCATTCATTCGTATGAATGCGTAGGAAAATCTCCGCTGAAGCGCTAGCATTTCACCTTTCAACCGGTTGATGTTGGTTATCATTTTAGGGTGCTGCTAGTACCCGTCGTAGGTTAACCGTAGCTCGCATAGGCAAATTTACTGATCGCTGAGTTCCTGAGTTATGACAATTTTGGACATTTTTTTTAGCTTTCGGGTAAAAGCAAAGTGGACGCATCTAACGGGGAGGTGATACATCTGTACTTAGCAAACGCGCATATTTTTGTAAGGGTTCTACGTTCAATAAAATAAATGTCTTAACCAAGTTTTCCTACCCACAGGAAAGTACTTACATCGATCATTGAGTCAAACAAGGCCGAATATTCAAGCCAAGAATGGAGGAAAAATTAAACCAAAATAACCACCTTTTAATCCCGTCTCTTCTTGCGGTCCTTATCGCGATTACTACTTCCGCTTCCACCGGCCATGGCGTCCTCCTTGCGCTTCGGTGCCTTCTTGGCCATGTTCAAGAACTGATCCAAACCGAACGGATCTTCCTCCTTCTCGAACTGTACCGGTCCCTGGCGGGCGGCCTGAGCCGAACGATCCGTTCCGCTGAACTCCTTATCCGGCACGAAACGCTGAGTACTCATAATCTGATCCAAATCGCCACCGTAGGCATCGTTGTCCAACGCTTTGCTCGGTCTGTAAAGATGCGTTCCCAAGGTACCGGCTTCACGCCACGGTTTGTCGTACACGTTGTAAGCTTCATCATCTCCGTAGCCAGAATCCATACCTGCGATGAGAAAACAAAAATATCAAATGTAGCCAAATCAAAATTTTCAGCACCTCCCCATTACCTTTGGAAGTATTAAACAGTCGCTGATCGAATTGTGCCTCCCCGGCGAGTGACGATTTGGCTGGCATTCCCAGAGCGATCTGTTCGGAGATATCCCGCTCCCGTTCCCGTTGCAGCTTCGAACGTTTATCCGGAGCAGCACGAGCCAAATTCCGATCACGAGCACGTTCCCGATGGCGTTCGGCACGGATCTCGTCACGTTCACGCAGATCCGCTGGAACTGCTCCGGGATCACCGCTGCCGGCAGCACCACCACCACCACCGCCACCAATAGCTTCCCCTGGGTGACGGATTCCGGCTCGTTCCTCACGGGCACGTTGAGCCATCTGCCGCAACATGTCTTCCTTCTTCTCCTTCTCCTTCTGGGCCAATTTCTTCTCCAACTGGGCACGGGCTTCGACGGCTTCTCGAGCCTTCCGATCGGCAATGTACAATGCTTCTGCCATTTTCGCAAACTTCTCATTGATGTGTACCTGCTGCAGTCCACGGCCATCGGCAGCCAGACGCTTGTCCAGTGGAATTGTGTAACCCTTGGCGTTTTTCCAGTTGGAAATGCACGGAGGAACCTTCCATTCGCGTTGCTCCTTCACGGTTACCTTTCTCGTTGGTGAATGCAGTACCGGAGCCGGAGGCGACGGTGGTCCCCGAGGAATTTTCTTATTGATCCTGAAACGGGGTGGCTCCATCGGATCAACTTGTGCTTCGACCATTCGAATAACCCGCTGCTTGGCTCCGGAATTGAATGCATCCCCTTGCTGTGAGGGTGTATACCGAATATACTGCGCTGGAGCTTGCTTTTCCGCGGCCCTCACTGGCATAGCGGACACAATTTTCTGATTGGTCAGCTTCTCCAGTGCCTTCCTGGTATTTTCTGTGATTTCATCAATCGCTTCCTGATCTGGTAATTGCAATTCCTCGGCATCCTCTGCCAGAACCTCCGCCGGCAGCAGCTGGTTGATGTTCGAATAGACAATCTTGTCCTTGCTGTGGCCTTGTCTAGCGATGACATCGTACTTGACCTTACCATTCTGATCCAGTTGCACGGCCAGGGCATTCGATTTCTTTTGTGCATTCCCTGGAGCACCCATCGCCAGCGGATACTGAGCTACGTGAATCTCGGGAAATGCACCACCATCGCCAAAGTCGGCTTCCGTACGGGGAACCCATCCCTTCCGCTGTCCGTAGGGCGGAGCTGCAATCTTGGCACTGACCAGAGCACCCATCGACGGAGTCCCCTTGGCGACATGTTTACGTTCATCGTCGCGATCCCAGATGGGATTGGACGGGGTGGGCAGAATACTCGATAGCGACATCGTGTCGCCGATGGTTTCACGCACTACGGGGTACCAGAACCGGAACTCGGTGGATGCGAGGAAAACGGGAAAACACTATTCACTTTTATCGCGAAGACGCAGAATTTCCCTTTGTATGCGATGCAAAGGAAAAGAAAATGTCGACTGTTTCGTGTGTTTCGTTTGACACCTTTTGACAGCTGAGTCCGTTTCGAACGGGTTCCGCGCACCGTTATGCCGACAAAAGTTGGTTGCCCAAAATAGGGCTGGCAGATGTTTATAGTGGTCGAGGTGTGATAGTCGGACTAGCGGCTTCCGACGTCACGAGCGATTATCAATTGGTTACCGAAAAATTACCCAAAATTAAGTTCTTTTCACTCATCTCCCATGTTCCGTTCAATGCACGGTACCCAGCGTAAACACATAAATGAGTAAAAAAATACACATTTTTTACAGCTCCTTAGTCCTATATGTAGACGATCCTAAAATGTGTGAAAAAATACACATTTTAAGAATGTACTCACCAAATTTCAATTTTGAGTTTCAGCAAAATAGTCAAACAAATTGGCTGATAATCAGTAAGATGAACTTCCTGTCTACTTAAATGACAGGTCGCGCAAATCCTGTGTATGCTACCTGCTACCTACACATATTAAAATTGTCATTGACACCTCAAAACAAATCCAAAGGTAAATAGTTTCCTTTTAAAAATTGGAAAACCGTTTCATTATTCTTCATTATTATTGTAGTTTCAAGCAATTCTTAATACCCCGTTCACACTACAACCTATATTACGTGATATAGCCTATCTTGATATCAGCATCCATACATCTAGTTTTCACTGGAAATAATATGTATGACGTTTGATATCAAGAAATTCTATATCAAGTAATATAGGCTGTAGTGTGAACGGGGTATAAAGTTGCCCAATCTCACCAAATGGCGTTATTGCTCGGTGGCTCTATCGCGTTATGCATCGGAAGACATTTTCCCATTTTCACGGCGAACGGAGAAACAGCACGAAGGGCTTTGAAAGCTACGAGCTTATCCTTGACGAGCTCAGGACGTCAATAACTACTGGCGAAATGCAACGCGGTTTTAACGTAATTAATCCAGGTGACCTACTGCTGCCAGCCTGAACCGAATTTAAACCACCAACCATAGTGCTTTAATTGTATTTATCGAAGTGTTTTATAGTGTTGTATATTGAAGAAAAGAAATAAATCATTAAGTAACATACAACTAAAACGTGCCATCAGTAAAAACAGAATAAAATTAATTTGCTGTTGTTTCTGTAATATTTTCCAGAAATTTACTGGAAAATCAGTTAATCGCTGTCAATTCATCTTCTGCTACGGCTTCAGCAAAAAATAAAATGTTTACTGAAGATTCAGTAAAATTTTGTAATTTTGACAGAAATCGAATTGCTGGAAGTTTCAGCAGCAATAGTTTGCTGGAAAGTTTACTGATCTGTCATCAAGTCCAAAATCAGCAAAATTTTGCTGAATTCCAGCGATTTATATTTGGTGTGTAGCACCAGTCAAAAAATGTGTATTTTTATACTCATTAATGGGTAAAAAAACTTAAAAACTTTGCTGCATCCTGCTTTGTTGCTGCACGCCATTTGCTAAATTTTCAGTGAAGAACAGCATAGGAAAACGGAGGAACTACGGTAGAAACTGGACATGCTAGAGGAAGTCACGCTTACCACTACACCACATTATATTTAAGTTCTAGAAATGATTACTTTTTACACATTTTGCTGTAAGAACCGTTCTTGAAAAATGTGTAACTTCTATTGACGTTTGCTGGGTTTACACATTTTATGAGTAGGCCCCTTTTTCACGAAATGTGTGAAATTTTACACATTAATGTGTTTACGCTGGTTACCGTGTAAGCTAATTTTCAGTAAACCGCTAATAGTAGTTTACATTTGACTATGGCAAAAATAATTACTTACTCGTGAGTATTTTCTACCAAAAATTAAGTTCAGTTTACTCAAATTTGAGAATATCTCATTCTCATACACTCACTAGTAGCTTATTGAACGATAGCTCGCGATAGTCATGAGAAAATCGAATGTCTCGTTCCGTTTTTGACAACAACAAAAAGTGAGAGTGGGATGCAAAACTCAAAATTACCCAATATTAAGTAAAAAGAACTTAAATTTAGGGGTTTTTTTTTTCTCTGTGTACAAAATATTTGTCCTCGTTGATTCAAGCTGATCATTGCATTAGGTCCTAAGTAACATAGACATTTTTGACGTTTAATCATCTTTCTCTATCTAGCACACATGGACGGTTTTTTTTCCCACTAATCTGTTTCCCTCTTGCTCGCACTCGTTCGCTTTAAATGGTACAGTAGTGTGCGCCGATTAAACGTCAAAAAGCTCTATTGATCGATTCTCCTCGTCGACTTTCTCTTTCGTTAATAACATGAGCACATACCCACATATTGTTGTGTTTTTTTTTATATTAGATGCTATATAAAAGCATCTTTTAACGATCAGCACACAGAAAATACCTGGGAATATCTTAAAATGGCCGTGGGGATACAAAGAGAAAGTCGACGAAGAGAATCTGTCACCATTTGTCGAGTTAAATTTATCTCGTGGTTAAAAGTTACATTTCGAAAGTTATCTTCTATGGTCGAAAATCCCCGTGCTGTCGATCGACCGGTTTTCAACCCACGATTGTCAAAATTTAACTGCTTGTCTGTCAGAAATAACCAAGCTCGGATAGCAGGGTTAATTGATAACTTTCCATCTGTAAAATTTTAACCAAAAGTAAAAAAAAATTCGCAAATGGTTCAGAGCCGAGTCAAATACGAATAATCGTCGCCTACCTCCCTTAACTGGTTACAAACGTAAACAACCCTTAAGAAACCTACACGGTTTGTTTACGTTTGGAACCAATTTCATACAAGAATGATCAGTAGGCTGATTTGACCTAGGGTGGGACGTGCTGTCAAATCAGCCTACTGATCATTCTTTTTTTTTCCTTTGGTTTGTTTTTTTCCGTCGATCTTGTTTTCCGTGCTGAGCACCAATGCTACCGACTGTAGAGTTTCGGATGTATTCAACCTATTAAACATGCGTTGTTACTTCTGATTTATCACTTTTTATTTTCTCGAACCATCTAATACAACCTCGTACTCACAACGTTCGCTCTCTTCTCTCCCTTTCCGGAAATCCCACGTACCTCACCTGACTTTATCAGGGTTTCCATGTTTCTACTGTTCTTTATTATATAATACAACAGGGCCGGAGTTAGGCTCGACCCGACACCGACTAGCCAGGAAGGCAGCTCCCACCAGTGCTGCACAATTTCGACAATACACGGTGATACTCAAAATTCTGCTTTGGTCACTCGTTTGAGCTAACAGTCATCGTCAAGGCAAACCATGTCAATTGTCAGTGGCATTTTTGTCAGTGACGAACATGTGCTGATTTGTTTATTAGCTAAATTTAAAATGAAATTAAATGGCTTGCGAAAAACAATTACATGGAGCCATTAAAGTGAACAAGCATCTACGTCCTGAACAGCTTGGATAACAATAATGTGACTCAGAATGCAAGAAATTACCCTTTCTGTTACCAGGTGAATCTTTGCCATTGACGAAAAAATGAATGAGATTTTGACAAAGATTTTTTTGAGGATCAAGTCTATCATTGACTATGTGAAAAACAATTTTGTCAATATCGCGCAAAAGTCTGTCAATGACAATGACAAATCTCAGCACTGGCTCCCACACCTGGACCCTACCTATCGACCCATCAACTCATGAACCGGGGACCAACGGCTTATTTTCCCATCCGAAGGAAGGCGTGATCAGAGATGTTATGCCTCAGAACATCCCGGTGGCGCCGACTGGGATTGAACCCAGGCCTGCTGGGGTGAAGCTGATCATTCTTGTATGAAATTGGTTCTAAACGTAAACAAACCCTGTAGGTTTCTTATGGCTTGTTTCCGTTTGGAACCAGTTATGCGAGGTAGGCGACGATTGTTCGTATTTGACAGCCACCTCCACCCCCCCCCCCTTGGATTTGACAGCACGTCCCCCCCAGCTAGTAGATAGAACTGTACATCAACAACTATTGTGTCCGTCAATCAGTCTACATTAGTACAAGTCACACTCCTGTCCACTTCGTCTCAGCCACAATCGAACCCATCTGCGGCGTTGGTGGCACACTGGGTGAAGCTTCCCAACGAAACAGTTCTACTTTTATATATTTTTTTTTAACAGAAAACGATCTCAAATAGCGGAAGTGCACTAGTTATGGCATGAACCATCATGGCCTATGTAATTTAAATGGGTAAGGCCAAAACCATTGTGTATAAGGGATTGTGCCATAGCTGGCTCACTTACCCTATTGTAGAAATTACGTTAAAAAGCGTTCTAGCAAAAAGTTAACAAAATTGACCAGAAGTTCTTGTTCTACGATTTTTGTAAATTTTCAATTGCCAAATGAAAGTCTAGAAGTGGTTTTAAATGTTCCAAAACTTTGCATTTTTCATGAGCTTTTTTTTTATAAAAACTAGCTGAGTGTGCCCGGCCTTACTCGGGATTCAATTTTAGCTTGAGTTTATGCGCCGATTTAAAAAAAAAGCATGCTATATTGTACGTAGCCCCCCCCCCCTCTTATCTAAGAAGCTACCCCCTATATATGTCCTCCACATGCCAAATTTGGTTCGATTTGCTTGATTAGTTCTCGAGTTATGCAAACATTTCTGTTTCATTTGTATTGGAGCCCCCCTCTCCTCCCTTCAGAGGGGAGAGTGGTCTCAAACCATCATAAGAACCTTTTCCGGCCCCAAAAACCCCTGCATACAAATTTTCACGCCAATCGGTTTAGTAGTTTCCGATTCTATAAGGGTCAGACAGACAGACAGACAGATAGAAATTCATGTTTAGAAGATTGAAGATTTAATTTTTGAGATATTTGAGTTCAAATCAAAAGCAACAACAAACGCACCGAGCATTGTTAATCAAAGCGAGTTATTAACAAAAGAGAAAATTGACGAAGAGAATCGATCATCGCGTCACTGTCGACTTTATATATTTTTCCATAGAAATTTTCGAGATTTTCACGCCTGGTTGTATTGGTGCGCTGTGTGAAACTGTGGTAGTGAAAATCCGAGGAAAATACATAA